ATTATTGTGCCTTTTATAGCATAGAAGCAGAAAGTGGTAGTTAGCTATAAAAGAGATTGCTTAGATTAAAGCACAAGAAATGTGTCACAACGTAAGTTAATTTTCTGTTGAATGGCTTGGAGATTTTGCTGGTGTCAGCTTTTTCATCTGAGATTCCCATACAGAAGTTGACAGAAGTATGCATTTAAAAATATTAAGAACCATTGAAAACTGTATTCACGTGTGGCATGGGTTATTACTTAGGTCTTAATTTGTGGGTTTACTTTTTGGAATTTGATAATGCAAAAACGTGATTTTTGCAGTAGAAGTTAATTTAATTGCTGTCCCTGTTATATGCAGCCTTAGTGTCAAAGGATCTGACACTTGTGTACTTAAGTTTTAGATGAAGTCTTGCTGAATAAAATATATTAAAATTAACAGAAAGCCTGTTTTAAAGCCAACAGATAAAAAATATCTCAATTGCCTAATTTTCCAGATTGTGATTTTTATTTTCCTTTTCTAGCAGTATAATTCTGATAATGTTTGCCTTTAACTACTCAAATGAACTAGCGTTTTAAATAAAAAAATAGGTAAATGGGAAGAATGATCAATTGTAGTACACCTCAGAAAGAATGATGAAAAAGAAATGAATGAGGTAACTTCAGAGATTATATGGTCACCATGAGAAAAATTACAAATGTATAGCTTCACTCTGCACTTAAGTAAATTAAATACTACTTTTGGATGTGGTCAGATCTGTAAAATGGATTGAAGTGGAATGGAAAAAACCACTGTGAACTGGAAGGACGTCCAAGAATAATATGCATCCACATGAAAAACACCTGGCTCTGTTGCTTCATGAGGCTGCTGCCTGCATGATGGGGTTAAAGTCTAATCTAAGCAGGCTCGAACAGAGTGGAATCTGCCTCCTAACCACCTCTCCACACTGTGCTGGATGTTTCCTGTTTTCTGTACTCTGCAGTCTTGCTTAACCATCTCAAAGTCCAGCTTGTTCATCCCTATCTAATCAGAGGTATTATTTATTAAGTGGTTTGTTTTCCCCAGTCACCTACACCCCTCACCCCCAGTGAGAAGAGCCTGGCTGTTTAACTCCACTGGAAGAAACACCCCTGTATTTTCAGCTTGTCAGCAGAGTCTGCAGACCAGTACATGGGGGGGGAGGGTGGGGGCCAGGGTGGGCAGTGTTGGGCAGAACAGACTCAGAACACCAAGGAGATTGCACAAGGAAGGGTTTGCTTTCTTCTGGATTCTGTGCAACTTATAGCTGGATGTCTGCAACAAGCATCATGACTTGGAATGAAAAACAGGAAAGCATGCAACACTGCTGTTACCAAAACACAGATCTTTGCACTAATTTCAATAGTGCTGCTGAAATACCCAATAGGATACAACTTTAAATCGAGCTGCCTGTGGCAACGTTTCTGTGCTGTGAGAAAAGCTGTAACAGGTCATGAAGGTAAATGCTGTCATGACATTGGTCTTTGTGCCTTTCTGTTGACATTTTGTTTTTCAATAAAGCAAGAAGGCAAGCAACTTGGCTTCTATAAAGGGAGACATTTAACTGTTTATTACCTGTTTATCTGAGTAGCACATGGTCCCCCAAAAAAGCACAATTAGGTGCTGCACGTTAATATTTGTATTAAGTTTGCAAAATACAAACCACAACAGATGTCTGAACTGGACCAGCTTGCTGAAAAGACCATATGTAGATGTGGTTTCTATCCAAGAACATTGGACACCAAGGCAGAAATTCTAAGAGAAAGTAGGCACAGCTGCCCAGAGGCTTACAAACAGGACAATAAAATGTAACTCTTCATCAGCTTTTAAAAATCACTGCTGTTCCTACCCTCCTAGCCACCAATATGGCATTTCTAACGTGCCATGAAGAACAAAGTCATGGGAAGGGACACTGATGTTGCTGACCCTTAGCTTGTAGGTACATGGATAAATTGGCTGATGGGATGGATTCTCCCCAAGCTGTCAGGACAGATAATCAGTGGAAATTAAGTTATTCCAGAATGGAGACATGCAGTGAAGAAGCATGGACCACGGAGTACCTAATTCTCTACGCATTTTTGGAAGGCGTGTGTTTTACTGAATATTATTCAGGGTGGGCCCTGCCATCTGCTAAATTTGGATACAATGTCTGTAAAGCTGGTGTGAAAATACACAAAATTAAACTCTGACTCACAATGCTTTCATAACTACAAAGTTACTTTGTAACTGCAACTGTCTCTCACAGAAAATTACCTTTTTTATTTTGTGAAATATGTACCCTCTCTATACAAAAGTAAGCCAAAGTTAAATTTCACCACTCAGCGCTTGATTTTACATCATGTCTCTGTTAAAATGCCTCAATTTTAACTGGAGAAGGGCCTGAGAAACCTGGTCTAGTAAGACCTGCTTTGAGTTGTGTTGGATCAAAATTATAATATTTGTACCAATTCATGAATATGGGAGTATCTTTGTCTGTCAAATATGGTAAGGAAAGATGGATCTGCCAATCAGGAAAACAAACAGGGAGATGCAGAAAGATGAGACTATTAATAGAGTTTTTACAGAGAGGTTGTTTATTTTGTAGAAAGTTTTCTTATAAATAACTTTATTAAAAATAAAAAACAATTCAGACTATATCCAGACAATTGCTGGATAATCCAGTCTTGCTGCTGAAATACCCAGTCTGGTGATTCACAGCTCCTCACCATAGGAAGGAAGGCTTTTCTCTTTTCAAATGCAGTTCCTTCTCACTAAGACATTGATGCCTGCTGGAGTTAGAAAATCCTCTTAAACTTCTAATCTAGTAGAGACCTGTCAGTTTATGCCCTGTGTTCTGCTGGCATCATGCTTATGTTGGACATGCTTTGGAAACAAATCTCGTTTTTGTTTAAGTCAGTAACTCTGCCGGAACTGTCCTGGACAATAAAGCCTTGGGTCCTGCTGATGGCCCATCAAGAAAGTCTCCTCTTGTGCAAGCAACAGCTGCTGCATTGAAGAATATTCTCCAAACCATTGGGAATGAGCTAACACCCAAGAAAATCCATACTGTTTGTTTCAAAAATAGTCATGAAGTTTGTTTAAAGTGAAAGAAACAAAGCTCTTCAGGCCACATTTCAGGGAGCTAATACTGTGCTTTGAACTTCTGTAGTCTGAGATGGCAATTCAGCTCCACTCCCCTCAGAGAAAAGAGGGAAAAGGCTTTGAGGTGTTTGAAACTGCATTTTTAGCTTGAGCTGCAGAATGAAATCCAACAGGAATTAAGAATTCATGGTAGTTTCCCATTCTCTGTTCTGAGGGTGATGTGCACTTCTCTGACTTCTAATTTCTAGTAAAACATGCAGCACAGAAAAGTGAAACAAGACTCAATCCGCTTGTGGAAGACTGGAAGGCAGGAGCAGGAGCCCTTTCCTGGGATGCTCCATTGGCAGGGTGGGCACTGTGCAAGTAACTGAGTAACTCAGAACAGCTCCCTGCAGGGTCAGCAAAGCAGCACCTCTGCTGTAAAAGTGACTTGTGAACTTCAGAAAATTGTCCCAGAAGGACATAAAGAATTTATTAACCCGTTTCTTGCACAAAGGAGTTTGTTCTCAGCTGATTTATCTGAAACTCTCACAATGATAGGTTCAAGCCCTGAGCCCTCTGCACATTGTTTGGTCTCACAGTCAAATTCTGTCACCTCTTAAGCCATGAGAATTGTCTTCTAGTTTAGAAGGGATGCCTTAAATTCATGTTCTTAATTTTCAGCTATGAGGCTCAGTGAAATTATTGACCTCTCCTGGACTTTTGAAATGTCAAATTAAGTACTACTGGACTGTCACTGTTGCAACTAGATTATAGCTGCCAAATAAATTTGGCCATACCAGACCCCCAAATTCAACCAGCCTAGAAGTAAAACACATCATTGGATGGGGCAGGGATGAGTTGGATTCAGACCCAAGCAGGGACCTCAGCCAGTCATGTTCAGTCCAGAAAGAAGACATGTCATTGGTCAAGGAGCTGGGCAGTGCTAAAACCTCAACCAATCAATTATCTAGATGCAGGAGTTTTGAACCGACTATATAAGTAGGTTCTAAAGAATAAAACAGGCAGTTTGTCGGATGATCAAGAGAGGACTCGAATAATGATTTCTGTCCAACCCACGACTGCATGTAAAACTGGACAAGCAGGAAAATAACTTTGAGAAAAATGGATAAATCATTTCCCCACATAAAAACATTTATAAACTGGATACGGCTTCTATCTTGCTTGCTTTCTTGCTTGCTTTCCCCTCTTCCTTTTTCCATTGCTTGTCACATTTCTTGCTGTGACATTTTCTAAGGCAAGAATGAGTATGAATGGAAAGAACAGAGCGTTGTCCTGGATTTATACAGTATAAAGATATAAAAGAGAGAAGAGCAAGCCCACTGCACCAAAACATTCACATGTATCTATCTAAAGATGTACACATGTATCTGTATCTAAAGATACAGAAACCAGGTGTATGTGCAGGCACTTGGTGGAGTAAATATACAGTGACACTAAAATCCTGACACCCAAACCCCATGGCAGTGAAGCCAGAGGAGAGATTTGCCCACCTGCCACTGTGTGACTTCCCTGGCATCTCCAGGGCTTTCAGCAGCTGGGAACAAAATGTGTTTTTGACTGTGCCATTCTTCCGGTGTCCTCTGCCAGGAGGCCTAAAGGCCTTACCTTTGGAATGGCACAGAACCCACAAGCAGTTTTTACTCACTCTAATTTCCAAAGATATTCTAGAAGTATCCAGCTGATTACTGGAGTGTGGAGGCCCAGGTGTCTGCCACCAGGGTGGACATACCTCAGCCCTGGAGGAGCAGAGGCAAAAGGGGAGAGATGCCCCTCTAGAATACAGTAAGAAAAGGCCCCCCTTCCATGGGCATTTTGCAGTCACATATTGGTGCCTTTTGGGTTCTAGTGTTCTGATAGTGTGTAGGGATTGATGTCACCCTTGTTCAGCCCCTGTTTACCATTAATGTACCCTTCCTAGAATGCTCTTCCTTCCCTTAATCCCCACTGGCTCTGTTCTGCTGCATTGTTCCACCCGTTATCCCCTTGGTTCTCCTGGTCTTTAGCCACTTCCCTGCACCACTTTCCCTTGTCCTTGTTGGACCTTGACCCTCAGATCTGCCCCTTTTGCCCCTCATTTAACCCTGTGCCCTTAGCCCATTCCTTGGTTCTCATCCCTGAACCTATTCAAGGCTGTGCTCTTCAATAAACCCATTGTCAGATTGCCAAACGAGAACCCATCCCTTTGTCTTAAATCATCAGCATTTTCTACAGTGTGCTCTGAGCTCAGAGATGCAGGTCGCTCTCTGGGGTCTTGTTGCGACATGTACTGTAACACTGGAGAGCAAAGCACTGCTGTGATGCTGTTTCTCAGCTAACTGCACTGTGCCTTTGTTCTGGGTAACTGATACCCACTGTGCTGAGGGTTGCCATTTTCTTTGGTTTCATCTCTCAGGAGTTTTAGGTATTTCTCACCTATAACCAGACTTGTTAAGATAATAAGGCATAAATCACCTGGAAGAGAGCTGGGAGAAGAAAATTCAAAGCAAAGCCCTTCTATTACCAAAAAGAAAAACCCAAACAACTCCCACTGATTAAACTCAACAAAAAATATTTACTTGGTTCATTCCAGAGGAAGGAATGTAGTTTTAAAAATAATTCAACCAAATGCCACTTCAAAGTGAATTTGATTCAAAGCTCATTAAAGCCACTGGGCCTTTCATCAGATATACCAAATTTTTGCCTGTTTTCATTCAGTATGAGATCTCTTGTCATCTGCAAGAGATTTATATTTAACTGTGCCCACTGCCCTCGTACAAAGTACCTATCCCAGATACCTAACGACAAGGACACACAATCACTGTCAGAGTGACCCTTTGATGTGCTGTGCTATTGTTGCTTGTTCTTATGAACAGCTGTCTTTGTTTCCCACAGGTATTTTGCTTTCTGCCAGGAGAAGTGAATGAACCACTCCAGCTGAGCTGTGAATTACAGCTCCAGAATGAACAAGGATCTTGCACAACAACAGCACCTATTTAGCACAGATCTAGTCTTCATTTGTCTCTGTACTGAGGGAAAGTCAAGGTAAATTCATGTTGATGGATAAATGGATAAATTCACTCAGTGGTTGATAAAACCTTTCTTAATGGAGCCAGTACAATGAGTGATGATCCTCACCAACACAGCAATCATTGTGTACAATGTGTGTCATGTATCAATGAAAATGTGCATTTCTGACCCATCGGTGTGACACCAGTGGCTGTGATTCTGTTTTCCTATCCCAACTCCCAGAGATGACCTTCAATAGGCAGCAGAGGTTTTGCATTTTAAAGCCTCAGATGGAAGCAAAAGAAGTGGGAATGGTGGAGGTGTAGATAGGGAGACAGCAACTAAAGAGACTTCATCAATTTGAAGAATCTAGGCAGAATTTGTGGGAAAGTTCCTGCAAACCACTTCTGCTTTTGAAGGTCTGCTCAAAACCACAACTTTGGAGCAAAGACAGGTCAAAGATCAGACCTTAGTAAGGATGGGGAAATAAGCCCTTTCCCTCCTCATTAGCTTGAATTCGAAACATTCACTTTGTCCAAAATTTTTGCTGTCCTAAGGCAAGGATTTTTGTAACCACTGTTCAGGAGAGTAGGCAGGAAAGCTGTGCATGTTGGTGTGTAGGCTTTTCTTTGGGAATGGCTAAGAGAGAGTGCGCTGGAATCCTCCACTCCTCTCCCAGGTGATGCATGGTGATTAGTTCAAAATTTATACTAAATAGGGTCTGAATGTACATAGGCTGATTTTTTAAGAAAACTTGTAGTTTTAGAGAGAGTTATTCTTTGTCCACGTGGAGACACAGGATGCCCATTGCAAGCAGCACAGAATGCAAGTCTGCACACTATTCCTCTGCCCATGGCAAGTGACCTGGGTGTTTTTTGTGTGGCAAGGCAGGAGCAGCTCACAGCAGTTTTGGGTTGCTGTTCAGTCGGAGGCTGGAGTACATCCCCACGTGCCGCACCAGGTTGGGCTCCACCACAAAGGCGTTCTCGCCCTTGCCCCGCAGCAGCGAGTAGAGGGCAGTGTCCTTGGCGAAGCCCTGGCGGCAGTGCAGCCCCTGCAGGTATTCTGAGGCCCGGCGGGCAGAGGCAGCAGGGAAGAGCATGGCGGGTGTGCAGCACTCACTGGCTGGCACCACGTTGTAGAGTGCGGGGTGCAGACGGCGCAGCTCCAGCCCATAGTGCCGCCCCACCAGCTCTGACAGGGCCATGCTGTACAGGGCGAAGAACACCACCAGGCACCAGCTGGGGCCCGCTCGCCTTGCGGCCCAGCAGTATGCAAAGGTCAGCACCGGCCCCAGGAACATGCCCAGGCCCAGCCACTCCAGGATCCTCATGGGCTCAGGGTTGAAGTAGTGTTGGAGCCTCTCAGGATGGTACAGCTTGAAGTAGAGAGCGTCTCTGAGGTAGGGCTTGGAGAACCGGGCCAAGAAGAGGTGCTGCAAGACAGAAAATATCTCCTCCTCTGGCACGGCATCATCTTCCACAAGGAGGATGTACTCTGGGTTGTACACCAACAGTGACTGCTCAAGGCAGAAGACATAGTCCTGCTTCTCCTTCTCAAACTGGTTGAGGCTGGGGTCAGGATTCTCTCCAGTTCTGTCACGACTGACCATAGGAAAGAGGCTGCTCAGCAGCCTGACATCCTGATGGATGCTGGGGTCTGACTCCACATTACAGAGGAGCATGCGGTGGCTCTGGCAACGCGCCCCACATTTCTGGAGGAGGCGGTGGAAGTGGGAGGCCACTTGCAAGACGTAGTGGAAATCATTCCGCCTCTGCACAGTGATAATGGTGATCAGCAGCAAGGGCTGGAAGGCTTCACTACCAGACGCCTGAGAGGCATTTGGCATCTGCATCTTCTCAAAATAATGGAGGGCATCCTGGCCCTCCTGCTGGTTCTGTTCCAGGAACTCCTGGCTCATGGGGTTCAGGTGCCAGCGCCGCAGGTAGAAGTAAGAGTGGAGGAGCCGGTGGCAGATCAAAGGTGCCAGCACAGCAAAAGTCACCACAGTCAGGGTGAGGAGATGGATGAAAGGGCTGGACCAACGGCACCACTTCCCACAGAGCTGCCAGGCTCGGTTTAACATAATGCTGCAGAAGGAGGGCACTCCTGTACTGCTCATGCCCTCAATCCTTCACTTCAATGCGTCCCTCTCTGGGGCCATTGCTGCCAAAACTGCACAGGTTGTGCAAGCCTAGAAAGGAAGAAAAAAGGATGGTTACTGAAATAGGAACTGACAAAGGAAATTGAAAGCCGGGGACTAGTCTCTGAGTAAGCTAACATACAAGGCCTCTGTGGAATCCCTTGAGGTGGAGGTATCACAGAATAGTCCTGGGAGGTTGAGGACAGATGAGCCAAACTTAGCTTCCAGCAAAGGACCCCTGAGGCCTTTTTAGCACATAGGAGCTCTGATCTAACCTAGCTCAAAAGGACTTTGTGTGTTTGTTACTGTGCTTCAAACATGCAACAACAGGCAAGGTGGATGTAGGATGTGTGGAAATCCTATTCTGTTAAAGGCACAGAACTTAGGTACCCCTGTATGGTGACACTGACATAGTAATGTCTAGATCACAGCAACAAAGCAAAGCCAGATCTCTTGTATGCTAGTCTATCACATATTGGAGAGACAAACTTTTACCTCTTTGGAGGCACATACTTCCCTCCTACTGCTCACACACTTCCAAATGTGTGTTTTTTCACTCTCCAGAATGTGAAGCCATTTAACAAAGACACCAATTTATTCACTGAGGGCTTGTGTATGCTAAGGGTAATGTGTGTGTCTATCTGTTTTTCTCAGATGTCTCCTCCTCTCTAGAACCTGTGAAATACATGGGAATAGCAACATGAACATGTTGTAATTGAGACATTGATTCATATCTCATATTTAAAAGTATGCAACTTAGAATATATGCCTTTAATTTTAAACTGAAGCAGTCACATAAATATGTAATTTTTTGGTGTACACATTCACTTTAAGCAAACATCCACCTTCACAGAAGTTAGATTTTACCATATCTGCTTCTCTGGCTGCCCTGAACACCTCACAGCCTGGCTGACAGAAGCTTACGCAAAATCAGGGCAATTAGGCTGGTCAGACGAATTCTCTTATGTCAGTAGTCTCACTTTTAATCTGTCGTTTCATTCTCCCTTTAATTTCCTATTCCCTCTCCCTAAGAACTGAGTTACTCATATTCCCCTCACTGAGGTTTTAACCTTCTGCCTTCAGTAAGTTCTGATCATCAAATGGTGGTTCCAGACCAAAACATTAGTCTTCATCCTTTTCTGCACTGTCATCTGAAGCAGCCTAAGCAAAGCTGGGTGGATGGAAAAAATCGTGGCTTTTCTCCTCTGTCTCAGAAAAATGGATCTTGTACAAGAAAATACTTGAAGGACAAGGAGGAAGATCTGGTTCTGGGGATACTTCAGAACTGCCTTCTTTACAGAGGTCACAGATTTGCTGTTTTTACCGTTATTAGAACATTTTTGCCATATGGGAATGTGACTGTCTATGAAAGGCCTTTTAACAAGATTAATGCAAAATATACAAGAGTTATTCCAAATATTTGTTAGAGAACAGGCAGCTCATGCTGTGAGATCTCAAACCATCCTTAGACAGACTGTGGCATCAGTGCTCTCTTAGGGCTCAAGACAAGATTCAGTGTAATTAAATTGAGAACAGATTTAAATGCTGATGCACGAGAATCTGAAGTTTCTCCCCATATAGCTTTGTTTTCCTGTCTAGTTACATAATCCTGTTGCACAAATTCTGCATTAAATTGCATGAATGAACTTTGTAAAGGTCTTAAAGGTGATGGCTGCACTTCAGCTGCTAGATCCAAGTCCTGAGGATTCAGGATGTGAAGACCTGAAATCCACCAGTGCAAAGATCTAACATTTAAATGCATTTATTCATCCAAAATCCTGGGCCTTCCAGCTAAACTGCCACAAGCATTAAGAGAACACAAACATGCAGAACCATATTGTACAGCTCACACTATTGAGCCTTGTCTTGATTCAAGCATCATTGTGCGCACTGTCTCTGAGCCAGCCTCCAGACTTTAAAGTGAGAACCACAGTGAGAAAAGGAAAACAACAAGGTAGTTCAGTTCTATAAATAAAGTTTACTTTTCATCTTCCAGCTATGCTGAAGCTCTGAGCTATAAAACCTATTAGCTGGCAATGAGATTTTGGGATATATATTGAAGCACAAGTAATATCTCTTTGAGCATTTCTTCATTAATAATTATTGGAGCAAACTGGTCTAGTGAGTGGCATCGGGCAGGGGGGCTGGAACTAGCTGTTTTTTAAGGTCCTTCCAACTCAAACCATCCTATGATTCTATGATCATAATGCTCATCCCAGAAAGAGATCTCCTTCCGTCACACCATCTGAAGAGAGAAAATTGGTTGTCTTGTCCTCCCTAGTGGCCAGCAGAGCTGAGGGGAGCTACAGCTTCATGGGATAAATCAAGTAAGTTCTACTTGACATCTTGCTCTTCTGCAACCCATGTTGTTCAAGGCTCATGTCCCAGGTCCCTGCAAGTGGACTCACACTGAGTCCAAAGCCCGACAGTGCTGGGAAAGTAGTGTGGGGACTCCACCTGCTGGTGTCCCAGCTCCCACCTCAGGGCACAGCTGATGAGGTGGTGCAGGTGAGCACCACCCACTCTGGAGGTACCTCCTGGCTCCAGCTTCCCCTGGAAAAGCACACAGGACTGGAAGCTACCCATGCAGGTCACTGTGTCATAATTCCAAGTGTTATCATTTAACCCTGGCTTCCCTTCCCCAGTAACAGAATTCAAGATCTTAGCGCTCTTATTCTGGCTCTGCAACTCAGGGAGCCCCAACAAAACAGCAATCACACACAGAGACTACCTCTACTCTTCACATCTTCCTTTGCTCCCTGAGCTGTTCACACTCATACTGATAGTCACTCTCTTTGTCACTCTGTCTGCTGACGAAAAGGCTGTTTTCACTGGGCAGTGAAATAACCACAGAGGCTAAAAATGCTCAGGAATGTATTAAAGGTCAAATACTGCAATTAATGTGAAAAACAAGCTGAAGAATCTAGAAGAGAAGGAAGAGACTGACCTCTTTCCCACCTTTTGTCTGTAACACTGGGAACCTGAGAGTTCAAAATATGGATTAAAAAATTCTTACTTCCGCAGAGGTGAAGCTTGCTCTGCAGGATTTCAATCCAGAATTTATGCTAAGGCTGTTTTCTAGCCACTAGGATGGTTCAGATTTCAGAGGAGACAGTTTTCAGGAGCTCTTTGTATCATAATTTTCATTTTTTTCCCTTTCTAGAGGGAAAAACATCTTGTTTGTTTTTCAAGCAAGTAGCATTTCAGACAGAAAAGAAAAAAGTCTGAGGAGAAAAGCAAGAATCAGATTTGGATTTTATAGTGCCTTAAAAACCCCTGCTTTATTAAACCTGAATAATAACTGCTTTGCAACCATACAAATACTTGCAGTGGAGGCCAGATTTACATGTTCTTTGTAGAACTGAGCCATTGCTTAAAGACACCTAAAAGCTGTGGTGATATAAAACTGTAGATTTAGCTTGTTTTTTTTCTTAGATTCTCATGCTGAAGATTCCTTCCAAAAACACTTAATTCCAAATCTATATCATATCTTCATTAGTCCCCTAATTACCTGGCTGAATTACACTGTTCAGGAAAACTCATCTCTTTGCACACTGAGGAGAGTAGAAAAATAAGTAATGTACTCTTTGGGGTGCAGAGCAGTGTCTGCTGTGCTTGTGCTTTAAAAGAGAAAGCTGATTTTCTGTCTGCTTTAAACTCCTCTCCACTGAGAGGTGCTCCTCGAACAAAGCTTCTTATATGTTGCAAAGCTGCAAATTTTAAGTTCCTGGATAGCTGATAGAAGAGAGACCATCTGCCTTCTACTTCCTGCACCATGAGACAAAACTATTCCTGTACAATTACAGTATTAAATTACTTCTTTTTTCCTATCTATACTTCTTCTCAGTGTCAGTGGGAAAAGCCACTTCTTTCCTAACATAAAAACAGCTGGATTAAGTCATGTGGTCAGAGCCATAGAGTCATTTCTCTACAAAGGGATGAAAGAAGGAGACAAAGGCAGGCTCTTGGAAAATGTTATCGAAATGTCATGGACTGTCACAGTCCCACCTGGGCCATAGCAGTGGTGGGAGAAATGGTGTTCACACGAGTGGTACCTTTCACTTGCGTGTTGACCCTATAGCAGCACCCAACCTGAAACTTTTGTGTGAAAAGCTTTTCTATGCCCCAGTCTAGCACCATGCAGGTGAGCTGCCAGCTCAGGACCAGTTCCTCTGCTGATGAACCCTCTCTGGCACAGACAGGGCCTTTGTGGTGCTGTGAGAAACATCCTCCTTGAATCTGAGGAAGCCAGTGGAGGCTTCCAAGGAGCCATAAGGATGTCCTGTAACATACAGACATGCTGATAGGGAATGTACAGATATCCTCAAATTCCAAAACAGGAGGTCCCTGCCGTGCCCTGATCCCTATTACTGGGCCAGATGTCCAGCTTTTCTCATCTGCAACTCTTGTTTTCTGAAAGCTTTCAGTAGGTCAGGTGCCAGATAATATTTCTGCAATGTGGCAGGTCCCTGTTGACAACAGCAGTGTCCAGTAAAGGCCAAGAATCCACAGATCTGATCATTGCACCTCTGTGCCAAACCGGGAGTTGGGCTTCCTAGAAAATACAAACCACCCCAGGAAGAGCTGTGCTGCTAAAAACACTCAGGGGAACCTTAATGGTAAGAGACCAGTAGCTGTTCTTTGATCACATTTTACTGGCAAGTACCTGTCGTGGTTTTAAACCAATAACTAAGAAAATTACTTATTTCTTGCTGTGAGATATGGATTAGAACAAGAGCAAAACAGGCATAAAACTTAAAAGGAAAAAAAAAGAAAAGTTTATTGACAAACTACAATAAGAACACCAGAATAAACTTCCAGAAAAACCTTTTCATCCCCAGTCTACCCACTATTCCCTTGTTCACATGACAAAAGAGACAAAAACTTTGGAACTTTGATGGTTAAAACAGTCCCAATTCTTGCTACAGTCTTTTCACCAGTCTTTATAGAGAAACAGAAGTTTCTTCCT